TCATTTACTTTTTATAAAACTTGGCTACGTCATTGGTACCTATATGAATATGATTATTGCTTCCCTAGAGGCTAGAATTATAAGTTATTAACCTATAACCTGTACCTATACTTATATCAAACTTGTTATTTGTATGTCCTAAGTCCTAACTAGATTTTGAATTTAATAATTTTGGTACGTAGATACCTCAGTGATTTTATTGGATTTAATAGCCATTTAGCCAGTTCGGTAAAAGTATTTTACTTCTAAATGTATGTTGCTTAATCATTGCTTGAATAAAAAAAACTTAACTTAGTAATTATTTACATCATCTCGAAATTCTATTTAAATAAATAAAAATCTACAACCCAGATGAATATGTTTATTTTTTTAAGAACGTGAACGAATAGGTACAATATATTTTTAAAGTGAATTTTACGAACACTGAGTTTTATTCCTGATCTGGATATCCCAGTTCGTAATAAATTATTAATTATTAATAATGCATATCTATTTGATTTTATCTAAAATAAAAGTAATACAACTGGTTGTAGTTTCATGCACATGAATTTTTTTTTTTATTAAGATAATATTATAATAATATGTACATAATCTGTAACTCAATAGACCTATAAATATACGAGATATATAACTTTACTCAATACAACACGGGTTTGAGTAAGAATAGGTCATATAATTAGGTACAGTAAAATAATAAAAGTATATTAACAGCTTACTAAATTAAAATAATATTTATTAGTTCATTGTATGAAAAAAAATCTCCAAAAATTGCAAAATTAACGCGTACCCCTGGTGGGACTCGAACCCACAATCCCCGGTTTAGGAGACCGATGCCTTATCCATTAGGCCACAGGGGCTAGCTAAAATTTTTTGATGATGAACAACATGTTACGATCGATATTTAGTTACTTTAAACAATCACGTTTGACAATACCTAATTATTGTATAATACTGTGTTTAGCTACGGTCATCTCGGACTAAATGTTAATATTATTGCCAGATGTACAAAAAAAAAAGCCAAAAATTAATTAATCGCTTTGCTATTACTTGTTCTATTTTACGCAAATACCTACGAAATATCCGGCATGAAAACGTCAACTACTCATCTCCTCACAATGACAGGCGAGACAGTGTTCAAGACTTTCAATTGTTCAATAGTTGACAATAGGTACTCAATAGTCAATGACACGGACCGAGATAGTCCGTGGTCAATGCTAACACAAATACACAATTATATTTTAATTAAAACTATTATCAAAATGTTAACGAAAATAGGTACAATAAATGTTTGTTGCGATTACAATGTTGATGTTTAAATAAGTATAAAGCATTTTCATCCAGAGTAGATACCTACTTAGCTGGTTAGGTTAGGTCTACCTAAGTATAACCTACCTATAGTGGATTATAGAAGCCACAAGCCCACGTATACCTAGGGATCCATTAATGTTTATTTTTTCAAGTTATTCCACCAAAATAAAGGTAAAAAGTAGGTACCTAAAAACAATAATCATATTATATTATGAATTTAGTTTTAAGGTTTAAGTTGATGTAAATTATAAAATGAGTGCTAGCCATGTTAAATTATATTTAATTTATTTTGTATTACATTTTTTAAAATGTTTACAAACAATAATCAATAGGTACCTATTCCATATACAATCTGTATCATTAGATGCATTAAGAATATAGGGTAAAAGTAACAAATATGACAGTTAACATAATTTTGATGAAAGGAGCCACCCATGGGCTATCGATGATACTTCATAATTTATATTATTACCTACATATAATTATGATTTACAAAAAAAAAAAAAAAAATAGTATGAAAATGATACCTATAGTAAAATAATAATAATTATCTACCTAATACCTACCTATAGTATATAAATATATAATTATTAATTTACAAAGCTCCGCTTTAGATGATATTATACTTACATATTTTATGTTATAACTTATTCTGTTACCGTGTTATAGGCACAAACTCTCGGATTCAGGATTTATGTTGCCATGTCGCGGATAAAATATTTTTTGTTGCTCCTCCGACCCTCCCCCAGAAATATTTCTACGGAAGCCTTGAAACCTTGTAAACTGGTTGACTTTGAATTCATGTTATTTGCTTTTCCTAATATAATTTAATACCTTTACTTTTTATTTTTTTTTGTTTAAAAATAAGTCTTAACTACCAGGGTTATTGGTGTTTCTAAAAAAAAAAATAACATTTTATAATTTTTAAAGTAGGTATTTACCTACATAACAACATAAAGTTTACCTATATTTTTATTTTCTCTAAATTGTAAATTAAGTTTGTATGTGCAAGGTGTAACCTACGAAATAAGCCAAAACAAAATAAGTCAAAACACCAAACATGATCTAAAATTTTAAAATAGGGAAAATCATAGATAAGTATACTAAATTTATACCGAGTGATTCATTTAACAGTGTAAAAGTGTTTCAAAACACTAATTATTCAAAAAGTATTAATGTTTTTGAAAATATTTTTTTTACACAGTAAATGGTTTCATGTCGTTACAAAACAACATTTTTAATAAAAAATTAAATTTTAAAAATGTTTTTTAACGACTTAAAACCATGTACAACATATTTTATACACTTTGAATTAATGACAAAAAAATCGCCTGGTATTTTGTGCTTTCTTGGAAGTTGTTAGCATAAGGCAGCGTTTCTTAAACTCTTTTATCCGTGGAACCCTTTTTGACGTCCACTTTTATCGTGGAACCCCTACTTTGTTTTTTTAGATTTTAAGCTTTTTGTTAGGATTATTTGCAAAAAAAAAATATATAATTATTTCATAATATACTAATATTGTGTTAAAGTTATTTAATTAAAAAATATATTAGCTAGTACCTATGTTATTCATATGCTTTTTGTTATTGATGGTCGTTTTTCTTAAGTTCACCCTATCGAGGACGGTCATAACCAATTAGTATTTATATCAACGACGTTCAAATATTATTACTGTTTACAAACTGTATGAGAACTATAATGTACACAATACATTATAGAAGTATAGATAGAGTATAGAGATAGACTATTCCATATGACAAACATTTTTTTCCTTATTAATAATCTTTAGTTAGACATTTTTAAGTAATTTTCTTGAAAATTTTGAAAAAAATTACTTAATCTCCGAGGAACCCCGGAACACAGTTTAAGAAACGCTGGCATAAGGTATCAACTATATTCTAGTAAAAATGTGCAAATTGATACAAATGCTAATCCTATTTATAAGTTATGACTACATAGTTTAGTATACAACATTTAACTTTAAAGTATCAATATTTTTGTTAAACTATACTAATACAGACAAAAATATACATACAGTAGACATACCTACTATGGTGCATTTCACATCCACTTATAAATAATTAGTTATTTAATTACTTGGTAACTGGTAAGTATAATAATATTACCAATATAGGCTGTAACAGTAAACCATGTCTCATTATTTATTTTATTTGTGACTATAAGGTCACTGTATACAGAATTGGCTTTATTTTTACATTAGTGGATTAGGTATGCATAGGTTAATGCTTTTTTTCATTACCAGCACCTACATCACTATTTTACTAAGCACTTAATTTATGCAATCTTACTTCCAAGTTCCAACTAGTTCCAAGTTTTATTTTAGTTTCGTAACTATTTAATATTAATATCAACACAGCTGGATAGCCTCGAAAAGACATTGGTTATGTAAACATAGTTAAGCTAAATGTAATAAAAACCCTACATAAATTGACAGTAGTTGTATACTCCCCAATATCTTGAATTCTTGATGCTAACGAAAATCCGTCTGATTTAAGTTTATATCATGTTAAGGGGTTTTTAATATAAGAGCACAGACTAAGATCTTAATCCATGTTTAATAGTGAACTGATATATTATCACTTTAAAGGTAAAAGCATTATCTGCGATTGTATTATAAATAAATATTGTTTTGTAAATGAGTTTTTTTATATTTTTCTGCAAGTTATTGTTTTTAGAATATTATTTGTTTTATAAATTTGTAATTTGACAATTAAATGATAAAATGTAAGTAAGTTATGCAATTATATTAAAGCAAGTATGTAAAATAACGAATTTAAAAATTATCAAAAATTAAAAAATCATAAAAAACATATAAATAATAAATATCATGTTTTTGGGTTCAATTTTGATATGTAAATTGACTATAATTACAAAATTGGTTTTACAAATATGGTACTTCAATTTCACACATTTGGAAAACCAAGACTACACATATGGGTATGACATACTCTCAAATCGTAACTTCAAAATTATAAATTAACATTTAACAATATTCTACCTATCTATCATTCATATTTTGTTTTACTTTGAATAACCTTGGTTTTAAATTTTTTTATTTAAATTATACTGTACATTGTTGGATTTATATTTTATTTATCAATATGCACATTATGGTATGAGACCATATTACATAATATTCTTACAATATGAACCCCTTTAAATATTGAGCTTTTCTTTAAGATATATAACACTGTGCTTACTTATTTCTGACACATACTGTAAATTCTCATAGCGCAACTAATCATTATAAATAAATTTAAATAAATCAGTGCCAATTAAAAATAATAATAGTAAATAGAGAAATTTTGAAATAATTATATTTAACACTTCCCAGCATTGAAATTTCTAAATTAGACTATTAATAATACTTTGCTGAACTCTGAACTTGAATTTAAATAAGTTGTTATTAGTGAATTATATAAATAATAATGCAAAAAATCTTTCTTTAGTAACCTATCCAATTACATAAGATAAACGATAAAAAGAATATTAGAAAATATAAATTAATCATAATTTAAGAATAATAATTTGCGAAAAATAAATTACCAAGACATACTTTTGTTGTTTTTAGTTTATTTATGTTTTATAAATTTGTAATTTTACAATTGAATGATAAAATTTAAAACCAAGAAAATGTTTGTAGTTTTCCTCGGAGTACAAGCAAAATGCGTTTACTTCAACTTCTTCTTTGGGCGCAAGTTGTTTGTGTGTCCACACTTCTTCTTACGACAGTTAGTTGCTCTTGGGTGAAGACGAGCATAACATTTACGGCAAATCATTTTATCACAGTTGTATTTCTGGGCCAACAAACGAAGAGTGGGCTCAATAACACCACCACGCAGACGTAATACCAAATGCAATGTAGATTCTAAAAAAAAAAAAAAATATATTAATTTCCATAGATTATATTAGACAAGATCTTTAAGAATTAAATTTCAAAAGTACCTAACAGAATGATATAAGTATTTTAGATATTTTCTAATAATAACAATTTAATAATTATACCTATAAATCAATCAACAACAAAATATAATTTGTCTAAAATAAAAATATTTTAACACTAATAGATACTTAAGTACATTTAGTTTGATGTATGGAGTTTTCGAATTATAAAGTGACTACTGTACAGTGTACATAATATTTGGAATAAATAAATGTAATAAAGTTTCTTCTTTTGATTGAAAAATGAATTGATATTTAACTAAAGTGTTATTTGTGTTCAAAATAGAATAAAATAATTACAAAAATGGTCGATTCAGAATATAATTTTTTTGCCCGGGCGCACACTCATGCAGTGAAACAAAAACCGCCACGACCTGCTGCAAAGACTTGGCCTATTTGGTGCGCACCTGGCCTTGTTCTAAAGTAGGTATTTTCATAAAATCATTGTACCTCATATTTATAAAATTAAAATGAGTAAAAACTAGGCAAATCATTAATATAATTAACCATAAAATATTAGGTATATTGTAGTATTTATCTTATACTTATTAGTGTTTATCGCATACACATAGGTAAATCTCATATTAATTATTATTATATAATGTGTACAGTTGTTATGAAAGCATACCCTTTTGGATGTTATAATCCGACAATGTACGTCCATCTTCAAGCTGCTTTCCGGCAAAGATCAAACGTTGTTGATCGGGAGGGATACCCTCTTTGTCTTGAATTTTGGCTTTGACATTTTCGATAGTGTCTGAAGACTCGACCTCAAGGGTGATGGTCTTCCCTGTAAGGGTTTTCACGAAAATTTGCATGTTGATGTGTTCTGAAAAATGAAATTAGTACCTAAATAATTAACATGTCAACATAACCTCAAAACATTTTTTAAAACGTGCCTTAGGGCTTTTCGTGACACACTCAAAAATTTAGTTAGTAAATATGAATTATCATAAATCGTAATAGCTATACAACGAGTATCAAAAAAACACTCCAATTAAAATGTGGTCGTAGACAAAACAAGTTAAAACATATTTACATCGTTGACGCGTAAGCGTACGATTTTATCCGAACACTATATAACAAAAGTGACATTGTTAACTTAGTATTCTTTAAACTTGTTCAATGAACTGTTTGAAAATAAAATTAGATTGTACAAGACTTACCTCTCGGTTGTGCGCAGACCAAAAGTTTTCCGCAAGTAAATTTCGGAGTTTACGAATTCACTCAGAAAAAATGTGATTTCAGATTTGTGAAGAAAAGTACACGAGTATACGACGTCGCTTATCAAATAATAAATTACAGACACAGGCTTGCCAACGTCCGTTGTTCACCGATGCCCGATGAATAATGTTATCACGTACGACGAACAATTTTGGCGCTAAATAATTAATAAATGTTTTCAAATGTTTAGTAATACCTATAATAAATAATTACCTTTTATTGAGAGCATGGTGGCTCGATGCCTTGATATAATATAACTATAGAAGTATATCAAGTACAATGTACATAATAGTATAGGGGCATGGACCGATTGCGCTTAAAACAAAGTTTTTGTTTTGGGCCAGTGTAAATATCAATAAAGTTTTATCTGTTGGGCCAAAAAGTGTAAAAATTTAATACAAGGCTCCTGATATATTGTTACAATAGCAGTTGAAAAATATTAAAAATACATAGGCACAGTTTTTTTTTATAAGCATTTAAAGATCAAATTTTGACAAAATTTATCAAAATCTCGAAAATTATCAATCATTGTAATTAATAAATTATAAAATGTTCAGTTTTTATAGCTAAGGATTACAAATTCAACACAAAGGTTCTCATAAATAGTTCATACTATAACCAAAAAATCTAAAAAATATATGAACACACTTATTTTTTACAGACATTTTAAATTCAAATTTGGACGAAATTGCATATTAAAAAACCTAGAATAACTATTTTAGTTATTTTGTTGTGATTGAATAATATTATTCGTGGGTACTTGAAACTTCTAAAGTGTACTATTATATATCTATGATAGTATCACGGTTTTTGTTGATGTATAACGCGTTATAAGTATCTAATGGATATTGTGATATGATTAATTTGGAATTTATTATAGGTAGGTACCTATTATAGGTCAATTTTTTGTTTAATACCATAGATATGTATATAATATGTCTTATACATAGACTGACATACCGTCACCGCTCAGAATCGTTTTTCTTATACAATGATATTATATCATTGAATTCAAATTTAATACCATCCATTATACAGTGACCCACTTGTAACCTACTGTACAGCAGAGCGACACCCACTTGCCCACCTTTTTTTTACTTAGCTCGCGCCACGACCGTGGAGCTGGATAAGAAAGATGAAGTGATATCATAGAATTTGATCCCTCAAAATGTATGTTAAATTGCTTCAAAGTCCAAAAAAGACATGCACATAAAACCTATCAGAACATGGGATCATATTATATGATTTTCAACTCCACTTAAATTAAGCCAAATGTTAATTATAATGTTAAATGTTTAACTCATCGCATACTCAACGTTTTTAAAGTATAGTTCTTTACAAAATTACAAATGTTACATGTTCATTATACCTGATTATCCTTATTTCAAAACGACTTATGTACAAGAATAGGTACTATCGAAGAAGGAACCACGATTTTTTTTTTTTTTAATCCTTATCCACTCATAAACGACACACATCTTAAACCTTCCGGAATATCCCCATTGAGACTTAAAAAGTGATGATATGGTGTATTAATATTTTATGATGAGGTTAAACAATTGCCACTAATTGGTCAAGGAGGCTTTCTGTTTTCAAACTAACTATTTAATTAATTTTTTGTGACTTAATTTTTGTTTAAAGCATTTATAACTGACATATAGGTAGGTAATTAAGTAAGTTAATAGATAGGTATATTAGTATATTACCATTTCAAAGAATATTCTATACCTATAGATTTTTCTGAGAATTACTAAAGATACACTATTTTAAATTATGCTGAGAATCTTATATAATATAGATATATAAATACATATTATACGGCTATAATATAGGCAGTAGATACCACTATATCAGTAGGTAGTCCCAAACTAGTTAGTAGTTTCCAAATAATTAATTTACAATTTAGAATTTAAATAGATAGATATAGGTATTAAATATATACTGGTTACATTATGTCATTATCTTAGTTACAAAGGTAACCATAGACATTTATACATTTTATACATTTTATACAGGACACTGCAGGTTAGGTATCATCAAATCCCAAGATGGGTATCATTGCTGGTATATTTAGATAGGATTTTCAAACGTGACTCGCGAGTACTACCTATGTATAAGCCTATATGATCTCAAGAGACTACAGCTGTAATAAGTATAGTATAAAGCATAATATACTTATATACCTACTTCACTACTTCATACTTTGTAGTTTGTAGTAAATTCTATGAATTTTGGTTTTGAACACGATTACAACATTAAAAATGTGTTTGAAACAGTAAACCCTCCTCTACAAAATATTTCAAATTTAATTTTAATGTTTGTCATTTGATATTAATTACAATTGTATTTGTTAACGCTCACCAAAATATCACAATAAAATAATTTTAAGATAAAATGTTTGTAAATTAAATGGATGAATTCGAATAGGTATATAGGATTTCATAGGTAACACTCATTATAACGTATACGTATTGCTAATTTTTTTAGAAAATGCAGAATCGTTAACCACCGAATGTCTCCATATTCACAAATTTTAATTGGTTACTAACCGTTATTTTTTTTTTTTTTTTTTTTTTTTTTTTTTTTATTAGATAAAATAGAATATTTACAATCTGTAATTTTATATATACAATGAGTAAATTTGGTAATGAAAGAATACAACAACATGAATGGCTTGAGGAGGGAGGCCCACCAGTGTGGATACCCTCTAGCTTGGGGGAGAGGTTTTATTATTTATTATTATTTTTTTTTTTTTTTTTTTTTTTTTTTTTTTTTTTTTTTTTATATTAGTGCTGGTCGGGATTCAGGAGATCGCGACACCAGTGTCTTTTTAATCGACGTGGAGGGTTGTTAGGCATGAATTCACTGGCCAAGTTGGAAATCAGTGGATTTGTGTGGTTAGCTGTTTTGGTGTGTAAATTTTTGTAGTAGTTTTTGGCTGTTTTAGAGACTGTTTCAATTTTAAGATCCTTATGTAGTGAGAGGTTTGAGACGTACCATGGCGCAGATGTTATTAGGCGAAGGGAAATAGACTGGAAGGCTTGTATAGTCCGTATTTGGGAAGGCTTGGCACATCCCCATATTTGGATGCCGTAGGCCCAGATAGGTTTTAACATAGATTTGTATATTAGTAATTTGTTATCAATAGAGAGTTTGGACTTGAGAATAGGCCGTAAAAGATGAAGTCTGGAGTTAAGAGTCTTTCTTTTGATTTTGAGGTGTGGGCCCCAAGTTAGACGCTTGTCTACAATTAAACCTAAGTATTTGGTTTGAGTTGTGGTTTGGATTGGATTGTTTTGAAAATAGATATTAGGAAGAACAGGTTTTCTCAAAGTAAAAGGAATGTGAAAGGACTTGTCTGAATTGATTTTTATTCTCCATTTGGTGGACCATTTTGAAATATTATCAAGATGAATTTGAAGGTTTTGGTATGCTGTTGTGGAATCGGAATGGGATGAGAGGATTGCCGTGTCGTCGGCGTAAGTGGCTATCAGTGTATTTTCGGAGTTGGGAATGTCAGCTGTGTAAATGTTGTAGAGGTCTGGTGATAAATCACTTCCTTGAGGTACTCCTGCTAAGATTTGGAATTGTGATGAGAGGGAGTCTCCTTGGCGGACGAGAAATGAGCGGTTTTGTAGGTATGATTTAGTCAACAAGTAGAGTGGAGTCGGGAGGAACATTTTTAGCTTAAAGAGTAATCCGGTGTGCCAGACACGGTCGAACGCTTGTGATACGTCTAAGAATACTCCCGGACAGAAGTTTTTGAGCTCAAACGACGAGGCTATTTTGTCGACAATTCGGTGGATCTGGTGGGTTGTGGAGTGGTTTTCTCTGAAACCAAATTGGGTATTTGGAATAATTTTGTGGGACTTGAGAATGGGTCTAATTCGTTTAAGCATCACTTTTTCAAATAATTTCCCTAATACTGGTAACAGGCTAATTGGTCTGTATGAGGAGGGTTCATTTTTTGGTTTGTTGGGTTTATGTATAAGGATAATTACAGATAGTTTCCAGATTAACGGAAAGTAGGACATTCTCAACATAGAATTGTAAATGTATGTGAGAAGAATTATTGATTTTTTAGGAAGATGTTGAAGTATTTTATTTGTTATTTGGTCATGTCCAGGTGATTTTTTGATTTTTAACTTTTGTATTAAGTTTTTTATTTCTCTGGGAGATGTGTGTTTGGTAGGGAGTGACATTGGTAGCGGGCTAGTAAGGAAGTTTGTAATTTGGTTTAAGTGACTTGGTTCGGGAATTATATCGTGATGAGGAGTAAATATTTCGGATAGGTGTTTACCAAAAGTGTTTGCTTTATCAATATCTGAGAAGGCTAAGGTACCGTCTGTTTTTTTTAAATGGAAGGGATGATCTTTTATTTTTAAAATATTTTTGGTGGTTCTCCATAAGGATCCATCTTTAGAACATAAGGACTCGTATTTGTGTTCGAATAACTCGGATTTGTGGATTCGAATTTTTGTTTTTATGGTATTGGACAGGTGATTGTATCTTTTTTTGTCGGATGGTAGTCTGGTGTATTGCCAACGTGAGCGTGCACGACGCTTTTCGATAATTAGGGCTTTTATGTTGGGAG